GTACCTTGGTCTCCAGAGAGACACCATTGCTCTTCAGTACTTTGGAGAGGTCCGTAACAGCAGACTTTCCCATGGCAATGCGCCTTTTAATTTCCTGGCTGCTGGTGCTAAGACTGTTGACCTAGTCTATCTCTGGGTGGTGCAGTGTGGATGTGCTCAGATGCTAATGTGGAAGAGTGGAGATGAACATTGGTTTAGAGTTACCTGGGAAGAGTGCCCTGCAGCTCCCCTTCCAAAAGGCTGGCCATGGAAGACCTGGCTAGAGCTGGACTCGGCACCATCCGTGGACTTGCCTGCTCTCTCCATTGGGGTTGGATGTTGTTTTGTTTTGGGGGTGAGTTAGGTGGTGGTGGGTTTTTTTCCCCTTGTATATTGGGCAACAGTTTATACCACAGTTTAGATTCCCACTGAGCCGTTTCCACACTGGTTATTCAGTGACATTGGATACATTCTTCGGTGTGTGAAGACTCTCCGCTGGTTCTGTTTCCTGACATCGAGTTTTCTAACTCTTCATCACCTGCTCTCTGATCTCCTGTAGAAACAGGTTTTTTGTAACTTGGTACTGTCCTTTGTGTGATCCTCTTTATTTCGTGACGTCAGGCTGGTTTTGGTTCAAGACTTAAAGAACACCTTCTTTAGTCTTTGCTGATGTGTGGATTCTCTAACTTCTGAGGCTCGAACTCTGGTTTTCTTGTCAGGACCCGTGTGTTTTAGCCCTGGTTGTCCTGGCCACTTCAGCCAATTCTCAGGGTCTCTGCCTTCTCTCCTGTTAAAAGCTGATGGGCATTCATGGATGCCCACTCCTGGCACCCCAACATGTTTGTAGAACTGCTTTCTCGACGTGTTCTAGGTGGTGTCTGTACAGCAGCAGGTGACCAACTTTGTCTGCTGAGGCAATCTCCTGGGTTAGCAGTTGAGCTTGTTGGCCATTTGTACCCCTCCAAGGACTAACCATCTGCGTAACTGCTGGGTGGGTTCAGACCCCCCCCATCCCTTCAGATAGCAGCCACCTGCTCATTGCTGTGCCGGCAGGGCTCTGGGGCACATCAAAAGATCATTGCACAGGAAAGGGTCTTTGATTTGGACTGTTACTGTGCCCTGTGCTAGCTGCACGTGACTAGTGTGGCTCCCTTGCCTGGCTGTCCACACAGCTGTTTGCCAGCTTCATCCCTGGGCCGTTTTGGTACCATGATGGGCCCTGTGTGACTCTGAGAAGCCATATCTTCCTTAGAAAGTCCACTTGCCTCTTCACACCGTTATGGCACTTTGTTCACATGCCTGACCTGCATTTGAGGGGAGACAGGTTAGACGAGAGGCCATGTAGACATCTGAGTTACGATGTCTTTTTCTGACTATAATAAACGATTTTTGCCTATCAGAGCTCCAAGAGTCAGGATCGCAAGTCAGAAAGCAAAGAGAAGAGAGATATCCTGTCGTTTGATAAGATCAAAGAGCAGCGTGAGCGGGAACGCCAGAGGCAGCGGGAGCGCGAGCTGCGGGAGACGGAGCGGCGACGGTGAGCGGGGCTGTCGGCTGGAAGCCCTTCTCCCCAGATGGGCTCTGCGAGGGGCAGCCTGATCCTGAGGAGAAGGGTGACTGTATCTGGTAGTGACCATTGGGCATGAGGGCATGGTACACATGGAAGCCCACTTGGGCCAGGCGGCATTTCCTCAGCAGGGTGGGGCCTGGGCCTCTGAGCTATTTAGTGCCCCATTCAGACCTTTGCTAACCAGCTAGAGCGGCACCTAGAGCTCAGTTCCGTTATGTTGAGGTGTGCTCTTCATAGGCCCAGACCCTCCGCCTTTGAGAAGTAGGACAGCGTGCTGGGCTTCTGCAGCCATAGCCTCTTGGAAGACCAGAGCCCACCCCAGGGCCTCCTGGTTCCCTCACAGGCCTTTGGCTCCCTGTGGGGGCAGGGAGGGGCCCCTCTGCTTGGACTCTGTGCCTGGTGGTTCACAGCTCTACACAGTTCCTGGCACCCATGGCCGGAGACCTCAGTTTGGGCCAGTGTGGCCGCCTCTGTCCTCACATTGTCCCAAGCTGCTTTAGTTAAGCACACAAGGCAGGCTCGTGACAGCCTGTGAAGTAATGAAGCCCCTTTTCCACACCATACACACAGCGAGCGAGCTGCCTCTGTAGGGTTTATTCTGTGCACAAGGCAGCCTTGCTTGTCCACTTGTTCTGCCCCATGGGACTGGGCTACACTGTGCTGCTTTATGCCTCCACCCACTTGGTCATGATCCCTGTGAGGTGAGACAGTCCACTCAGAGGGATCTTGGATGATAACATCTGCTGTGACACACGTTGGTCCCTTGCGAGTCAGTGACTTGACACAGCTGGTGCTGCCTTTTGGAGAACTGTCCTAGTCCTGAGCAGAGCACAGACCTTTGTCAGCCTGTCTTTGAACATCCCTTTTGTTTGGCAGAGGAACAACTTGAGTTGGTCAAGCTGTTTGAACTACGTAGTGAATCACTCACTACCTGATAGCTGCTGGGTCATAGTGGGAAGCAGAACACATTCAGCTCAGGATCCCCCAACTCCCGCAAAGACGCCGCCTGGCACCCAGGTGTCCGCGGGGGCTTCAGGAAGGCCTGTCCTGTCTTCCAGGGAGCGGGAGCAGCGGGAGCGGGAGCTGCGCCTGGAGGTCTTCCACGAGCGGAAGGAGAAGGCCCGGCTGCAGCGCGAGCGGATGCACCTCGCCTGCCAGCGCGAGCGGCTGGAGCGGGAGCGCTGGGAGCGGGAGCGGCTGGAGCGGGAACGCATGCGCGTGGAGCGGGAGCGCCGCAAGGAGCAGGAGCGCATCCACCGCGAGCGCGAGGAGCTGCGGCGCCAGCAGGAGCAGCTGCGCTATGAGCAGGAGCGGCGGCCCGCCTTCCGGAGGCCCTACGACCTGGACAGCCGGTGAGGGGGCCAGACTGGGGAGTGTGGTCCTGGAAACCGAGGCCCAGGCACCGGAGGGCAGACTGGCAGCAGGGTTAATGCCCATGCTCATGGGCAGTGTTAGGTGGTTATGAAGCTGCCAGCTGGAGCAGCTGGCCCTACGTCTGTCCACCTCAGTGTGGCTGCTCGAGAGCCCGAAGGTGGAGCCTAGCACAGCTGTGGACACTGCCCCAGTCTGTAGTTAGCACCACGGGGCAGCTTCTCCAGATCACACCAGTCCTGAGGGACGTGTGCTGCCCTCACTTGGCTGTCCTCTCACTTGCTGTTGATGTAGAGCCCAAAGAGCCGGCACCCACAGCATTCTCTGGTCTGCCTGAACTGCTGCCAGAGGACCATTCTGGGTTTCTGGTGAAAAGGCAGGACGTGGTCACGGTCAGTATACAAAAGCTACAACCTACATTAGACAAACCAGTTAGCAAGGATCTTCCACCACCGTGAATGACGAAAAGTGGTCAGGCTGCCCTCTGACAAAGGCTGGGAAAGGCTACGCCATCTCAAGTTCTGGCTCTTGGGGGTTCCCTCTGCAGACAGGCTCGGAGTAGGGGCTCGGGTGACGCAGGAGTGAGCCTCTCTGGTGCCCGTCCCGCCCCTGTACCCGTTGGGGGGTGGTGTTACTAGGCTTGGTGAGAGTACGCACAGCCATCCCCAGGACGGCAGACCTCTTGGCTATTTGGGGGTTTAATGCACCACATCAAAGCAGTAATGCTCGAACATTAGAGATTAGCTCTGCAGGACACTCGGAATGATACACAGGCTGGAGGGAGAGTTTTCAGCCTCGCCACCACCCTTCCCTGCTCTTGTTCACAAATGGAATTTGTATTCTTTTTAAAATGAACCAACAAAACCCCACAGGCGAGATCCCTACTGGCCAGAAAGCAAGCGGGCAGCGCTGGAGGACAGATACCGCTCTGACTATCCTCGGCCAGACCACCGCTTCCATGACTTTGACCACCGGGACCGCGGCCCATACCAGGACCACTCCATGGACAGGTTGGTGCCCTGCCCTTGCCTCGACTGCTGCACTCAGGCCCTGCTCTGTTCAGAGAAAGCCACTTTATTACAGAGGAGCTTTAGAGCTTTGGACCCTTGGATATGGGGGTTCAGAGCTCGAGCCTGGTGTGGGATCTGGGCTCCTTGACAGGAGGGCACGTGAGGGGCAGTGATTCTCTGCAGGGCCTCAGCTGTGTGTACTCACTGGGCTTAGTGAATGGATGGGTGTGGACTCTTAGGGTTAGTCCTGTGCCATGGAAGGGCACATTGAATGCAGGGCTGGAGCCTCCTCTGCTAGGCCTCGTTTGTGTTGTGAGGGCCTAGGTGGGATTTCTTGACCTGTACTTTACTTACTGTGAAGTATATTGATTTTAAGGACTCTTTGGGGGTAAAGTGTGTTAAGGGGCTGGCTGCTAACCAAAAAATCATTGGTTCAAATCCCCCATCTGCTTGTAACAGCAAGAAAGATATGCAGTCTCCTCCCATAAAGATGTTTAGCCTTGGAGACCTGATTTTGGGGGGGTGTCATTGGGATTGGGATCAACTCCGTGGTGTTGGGTTGTTAGCTAGTTTGTGGGATTCCTGCTGGTGCAGTGATTTAGCACATAACTGCTAACCAGGAAGTTAGTGGTTTGAGTCTCACTTGCTCTTGGTGAGTTAACTGAGACGGAGCACTTCTGCTTTGTCCTGCAGGGTTGCAGAATCAAAACTGACTCAATGACAGCAGATTTTGGGATTTTTAAACTAGTGTGTGGAGTCCCTGGGTGTTGGAAATGGTTAGTGCTTGAATGCTCTGTAAAGAGGCACCTCAGATGACAGGCTCTGAAATCTCAGCCACTAAACTGCTGTGGAGTGCAGTTCCACAACCTCGAGGCTGACTGAACAAGGATGAGGTCACAGGGCCTCCAGGGGCCTCCCCTCGTGGAACCCACGCTGAGCGCTCAGCTGACACCAGGGCTTCCATCCCAGTGTCTCTGACCAGAATCAGAGTGTCCTTGAGGTGGGGAGGAAGGACTTGTGGGCAGCACGTCCCGTCCCAGGTCAGCAAGAGACAGATGTCAGACACGGGTTTAGTGGGGTTTTTCCCACCAGCAGGTATTCACACCTTCTGAACACGAGGGCCCTCGCCCAAGCTGCTTGGCTCTGGTAGACCGTCCTGGGCGGCCAGGGGCTCCAGGTTTCCCGTCTGTCGTAGCCTCTCTGGTTGTGCTCCCCTGGGCAGCATTCCCTCTAGTTGTTGAGGTGTTCTGTAAGAATAAGACCGAGGCCTTGGCGATTGGTTTGTGCTGGAGCTGTTCTAGGGTCTGGGTAAGCACTCATTCAGTGGCACAGGTACTCAAGCTGACCCACCCCAGGAACGGCGTGCGTGGCCCCTTCGCAGCGATGCTGTGCAGAGGGCATGGGCTGTTTTGTTAGTAAGTGACCTGAGGGGAGTTGGCTGTATTAGGTGAGACCACAGGGCTGGTAGGTCTCCTAGGTTTTCTGCTTGTCCCTGTGTTGTCTTGTCAACCCTGTGTGGGAGCAGCCCACCTGTGACAGTAAAGCTGCCTTCTGGGGTTTGCAGGGTGCAATCCGAGGAGAGGAACCACCAAGTGTCCACAGCCTCACAGGTTCACGCTGTGACCTTGTGATTAGCTTCACTGAGTTGTGACTCAGCTCTGACTTCATTCTGCTCCTCTCCTAGTAAAGGCTTACAATTTAAGCTAGTTTTCTGCCTCGCCTCAGCTAATTAAAATTATTAAGTGTTGAATAGAATAAAGAGGACAATTACGGAACCCTTTTGTGTGGCCTGCAACAATTCCACAATACTCTTTAAGTGAGAAATTTCTCTTGTAGGAGAGATGGTTCCAGATCAATGATGGGTGATCGAGATGGGCAGGTGAGTAGACTTGGCTGGAGAATGGGGGAGCACTGGGTGGCAGGGCCCCGGGTCTGACCAGCAGCTAGAAGTGAGAGTGTTGGGTGGTGGTCAGCCTGTGGGGTCAGCTCCAGGTTTCAGGGAGTGAGGAGGCCCCCACCACACTAAAATCTGATGAGGTGGGCAAGGGGGCGTTCTCAGAGGATACAGGGTAATGAAGAGTGAAAGGAGAGAAACCTTCCCCACGAGGGAGGCTCCTGGCCTCGGGTTCCCACCAGAACCTCAGCAGAGACACTACTTGGGGGAACTTCCAGTTCTGCTGTCTGGCCAGAAGAGGGCAGCAGTGACCTGGGCTGGCTTCCCAGAGGCCTACGAGGGGTCCCTGATGTGTGTGTCCCCGTCCTCTGCCTTGCAGCACTATGATGATCGCCATGGCCACGGAGGGCCCCCAGATCGCCATGGCCGGGACTCCCGTGACAGCTGGGGCTACGGCCCAGACAAGAGGCTGAGTGAAGGCCGTCCACTGCCATCTGCACCCAGGTTAGCATAGAGCTGCCCCATGCGGGTGGGAGCTGGGGGGGTCCTCCCTAGTCAGAGGCCCACCCTAAATCCCTGACTCCCAGAACCAGGGTCCTAGAAGAGGCTTGGCGCCTCTGTGCATCAGCGTATCTCTTTCTGATAGAAGAAGCCTTTTGGGGTTTTGTCCTGTCTGTGGTCTAGCAGCTCAGAAGAAACACTCCCTCCCCCACCCCTACACACTGAAGCCCTTCAGTCGGTTCAAGCCATGTCCTGTCTCTGCCCCCACCCCTGTTGCTCTGGATTGGAGTGTTTCCTGCCAGTCTACATGTGTGGTGTGCACCACCTTCCCTGCCTGCATTCTAGCTTATTGTCTGAGTTGGAGACCCTGGGCTGGGTCCTTCAGGGTGTTTCTAAGACCACCTTCCTCGCTTCACACTGAGCCTCTTGCAGTGCAGCCTCCATCTTGCCCCCCAGTGGTCACCCCACTGAATGGGGGGGCAGCACTTTGCTCAGAGTCGTGCCTCCATCATCCTCAATCAATTTAGGCCCTAAAGCTCCTGTCCTGTGGTCCTTCCACCCTACATTCTTGTTGCTAGGTAATTCCTAGCAGCCTCAGGTGAGAGTTCCAGCCACATAGATTTTCTGGGTTGTCATCTTAACAGAAGCAAATCGCCAGACCTTTGCTCCCATGGGCGTGCTGTGGGTGTTTGAACCGCTGGCCTGTTGGTTTCTTGGTGTGAGGCCTCCCTCCCATCCACGTCCTTTGTGGATGACTTTCCTCACTCAACTCTTGCCAAGGGTCGTTGCATCTCTTGTGACCAGTATCCATGTGTGGAAATGCCTTGTTCTTTCTGGATTTGTTTGAGGCTCCTGTGACTAATTTCTCTGTGAGAGCACCTCTGGAAGTCTGTGAAGCGGGGTCTGTAGGCTCTCGGTGGTGTCCCACGTCCTTGCCAGCTTGTCCTTTGGTTTCTGCCATCCCAGGGGAGCAGCAGTTTTGAGTTCCCATTCCCATGGGGAAAGCCCTGGCCTCCTGCTCCTCACTGAGGTGACTGGGGAGCCCTCTGGTGCACATTCAGCTGAGAGCTGAGAGCTTGGAGGTAGAACCCACCTTAGGTGCCTTGGAAAAAGGTGTGGGGGTCTGCTGCTCAGGAACTGGCCTGACACCCCTCTGAGAGCAGTCTCCTGACACCTTGCAGCCTCCTGTTTGAGTCGCTTGGTGTTATCTTGTTGGCGTCTGTTCTTGGGCGACACCTCTCCTTGTCCTTTGCATATTCTCCTCTTTGCTCCCCTGCTAAAGGGCCATGGGGCCAGGGAGGCCATGTGGTGTGACCTCTGCAGCCTCTCTGGACAGTCCTATGTGTGCTTTTTCCTGCCAAGGGGTGGACGTGATTGGGGAGAGCACAGCCAGAGACTGGACGACCACCAGGAGCGTCCCTGGCAGGGTGGCGTGGACACAGGTGCAGCTGGCCGAGATCATGCACAGTGGCAAGGTAAGGGGGGCCCCATCTGTGTCCGTGCACAGCCTCTTGGGGGAGCAGTGGGCAGTCCTCCACGTTCTGCTGCTACAGACCACCAGGCTCCTGGGCGGGGGGTTTCTGCAAACTCTCTGTCCTTGCAGGTGGGGAGAGAGGCCCATCCAGCCCATCGGGGCCCGGGCACCTGGCCAGCCGGGGCGGCATGTCGGGGTAAGGAGTCTTGTCCAGGATCAGAGGGCTTTGTTCCTGCTCCCAACGCCTCCCCTTTTGCATGTTTGTTCAACTGCCGGGTGGCGTGTTTTGAAAACAAACCCAAAGAGGCTCTCTGCAACTTAGGCAAATAGCGCTCTCCGGCCCCCCGGAATGCGGCGTGTGATGATGGCTGTCTCACCTGGACAAAGCCCGGCGCGCCCCAGGCTGCCGCGTCGCGTCGGCGCTCAGCAGTGCGGCCGAGCAACGCACGCCACTTCAAGGGGGAACCGTCTGCCTTTGTTCCTAGGCGAGGCGGCTTTGCACAGGGTGGACATTCCCAGGGCCACGTGGCGCCAGCAGGCGGACTGGAAGGTGGAGGACTGACCGGCCAGGACCGGGGCAGCAGAGCCCCCCACCCCCACCCATACCCCCACTTCTCCCGCCGCTATTAGGCCCCACCCGTGCCCTCCTGTCTCCAGGTAGGCAGCGCACCATCGCGTCTCTTAGCCAGCGTCACCTTGAACTTACGGAGTCCTCTCCAGAAGAAGCAAATTCTGCCCTGGTTGTAGCTCAGTACAATGTGAACTCATTTCCTTCTCTTTTATTTCTGGGTTTTTCCTCCTTTTTGTAATAAATGTGTTCTTGTTCTGCTGTTTCTAAAGACCAGGTTTCTGTTAACAAGGCATTCCATTTTCCATTAATAAAAGTTTACGGTTCGCACTCTGTGTGAGAGAGAGTGTGTGTATGTGTGTGCTGCAGGGATCCTGCTGTGTAACCGGGGCGTTCAGCCCATTAAATCCTCGCAAACACCCTTTTGGGGCAATGCCTGCATCTCCCAATTACTTAGAGGCAGGAGATACTCTGCCCCAGGTCCTGGACTTGGAACTGGGGCCTCCCTCACCCAGTGGGCCCCAAGGTTATATTCCAACATTTCTGAAATGGTCACCTGAGAGCCCAGAACCGTCCTGTCCCAGCAAGGTCCCCATTGGCCTTGTGGTGGGCAGTGTCCGGCTTGTCAGAGCAGATGAAGACGGCCACTGTCCTGCAGGGCCCTGTCTGGCTGCAGAGGATAGTGATGATGGAGAGATGAGGGTAAATGAAAAGCTTATCTGTCCCTCCTGTGGGCAGGTGAGGGCTTTGGTGAGGTGAGAGTTAATCTCCAGCCCCCTGCCCTCGAACTAGGGCAGTCAGTCCCCCAACAATTGACAGTCTTTTAGAGTGCTCTGTGCTCCTGCTGGGACAGTTAGTCTAAAAGGCTCCATCTGAGTAAGGCAGAATAGACACCCCCCCCCCCCAAGGGACTCTTAGACACCTCTGTTCCAACCACAGGTGGGGGGATTGGGGCACACTGCCGCCCTCTCCCTCTGCGAGGCAGGGGGTGACGGGGTGGGGGCTATAAAAAGTTCTGAGACCTGGTGGGGGAGGGCGAAGGAAGAAATGATCTCTGAAACTACATGAGAAAATCACAAGCTGAGAATTAATACCTTATTAAACATCTCCACATCCCCGGAAATGTGTCAGGTCTGTCAATTGCTAAATTTTGTATTCATAAAGATTTCATTACGTTTCACAACAGTTCTGGGTTCAGTTGTCTCACTTTGCAGGAATTCCACAGCCTGCCCACGGCACTCACTGGCCTTCAGTGGCGGCGGGCTTCCCGTGCAGTCACTTCACCACCAGGGTTCCAAGACAGCCTTCTGAGTTGTAGGCTGTTCAGGGGCACTCCTCACCCCTGGTCCTCCCAGCTATGCTGGGGGCAAGGAGGAGAGCGAGTGTGTGTTGTGTCCTAATGTCACAGGTGGGCCACGCAGGCCGTGGACCTGACCTGTCCTGCGCTGTCTGCAGCTGGGCAGCTAAATGACCATGTGGGCAGGGCCTAGCTTGCTCCGAAGCTCCAGAAAGACCTCTTCCTGGCCTAACCTCTGCTGGTTTTGGCCTCGCCGCCTCATTCCAGACTCTACTGACCTCAGTTGACCATCTGCCCTGTGTTTGAAGAGACAGAGGTCTCTTAGAGGGACTCTGATCCCTCAATTTAGTCCTGTTGCTGTCGGCTCTGGCTCGTGACAGCCCTATGTGCGTCAGGAGAACTCCAGGGAGTGTTTTTTAAAGTCCGCCAGCAGGCCTTTCCTGGGAGGGTTAATGTTCACCTCCACTCGGTTAACAGCCAAGGGTCTTTGACCCAGGGTCTCCTGTGTTGCACTGGTGATTCCTCAGACAGGAAGCCCACATGGCCTTGTGAGGGCCGTGTACCTCAAGCGTGTCTCATCGGGTCCTGCCTCCCTCCTTGAGCCAACTGGCTGTGGGGCTGGTGGGGTGCTCCATGCACCTGTCTACAGAAGCAGGTGTCCTCAACACTGGTGCTGGCCTCTCCGTCCGCAGACCACATAGCTATAGACTGAAAGGAGACCCAGCAGGGTTAGACTGGGAACTGCCGGAAAACACCACACCCGTTGCTGAGAAAGTGGGGCACGGAGCAGCAAGGAGCACACTTATCCCAGGTCGTCGCCTTGCCCGAAGGGCTGCTGCAGTGGACTGAGCAAGTGGATGGCTGCAGCACAGGCATGCAGCTCAGTTCAGGGTCTGTCCACATCCACGCCAGTCACTCCGTCCGCTCAGAAGGAAGGTCTTAACCATCTGCACCAGGCACTCCATGCGCCCAGGAGGAAGGTCCTTGCCTCAGAGCCTCTGTGCCTGGCAAACTTCACGTGCACTGGGCTCACCTTCCTTCTGTGCTTCACCTGCTCTTTATATCTCAAAAGAGACTGACTGCCAGACGCGCTACCTGGCCGTGTCTTACCAACATAATGAAGAAAGTCCGAATTCCAACTCTGAGTGAAGACTCTGAGGCTGGACTCCTGGTGGGTGGAGACCGCTCATCTTTGGTCCAGCAGAGCAGCCCCAGAGGTTATGCATTATGTCACCAGGGCTGCTTTTCGATCTGTGTGCATTCTTAAGTGCTCTTGATTCAGCTGTGATTCAGAGACCCTGTAAACAACAGATCTTGCCTCATGGTGTGCCGTCCTCACCACCTCGGGCCCATTGTGTCAATCATCACTGCATCAGTCCATCTCCTGGGCATCTTCCTCCCTTTCTCTGACCCTCCACTTGCCCCAGGTCTTTTCCAGCCCCACTCCCAATGCCTGAAGGGTACGTGATGAAGTCCCACCATCCTTGTCTCCCAGGAGCTCCCTGGTTGCACGTCTCCAGGACAGAATTGTTTGTTCTCCAGAGGGGGGTGGGGGTAGGGAAATTCAGCAATCCTCACCAACACCCCAAGTCGCCCTGTGTACAGCGGTTAGGATTTACCACGTATATTTTTTGGGAGACTAAGTTCAATCCCTAACAGTTGCCCGGCAGAGGAAACAAGGGCAGAGATAGAAATGGAAACCAAGATAGATGGACAGAGACTCAGAGAAGACAAACAGATTGGAGATGCGAGCCCTCAAGCCAATGTTCGCTTCCTGGTGCTTGGCTCCTCCACGCCAGCAGTCTAGAAAGGACCTCAACAGAGGCAGGAGGTAGATGGGGTGGGCTTCCTGGAGGAGGTGACCTGGGTAGACCTGGCTGGTGAGGAGTGAAGGGCGGGGGAAAGGCATTCTGGGAGAGGGAGCAATGTGCAGGCACCTTGAGGAATGTGCAGGCGCTGCCCCATGGAGCACTCAGCAGTGGGGAGCACAGGAGACTTGAGATCAGAGCCACGAGGTCCAGGCTGCTCAGGGCATCACTGTGGGAGCCACCACAGCTGTGCTGGGCATCAGAGAGGGGGTGCCCAGACCTCATGCCTCTCCAAGGTGTCCTTGCCTAGGGGAACCAAGTCCTCTCTGTCCCCCAGTTCCCTCCTACCATCAGCAAGCCTGAGGCAGCCACAGGGCATAGACCAGACCTAGCCCCCAGCACAACAGAGGTCACAGATTGGGGCCCCTCCTCACAGACCACGAAGCATCAAGACCTACTAGGGACATGCAGACAGCAGGGGCAGCGTGCAAGGGGTGCAGGGGACACTAGAGATCGTCACCCCGTCCTGGCTCCTGAGGCAGGAGGTGGGGTGAGAGAAAGAAGATCAAGAGTGGAAAGGGGGGAAACAGAACTGGAGATGAAGACTCAGAAGAGAGGGCTAGAGCAAAGGAAGGGACAGACAGACTGGCTGGGAGACGGACAGACGTGAAAGAAAAGAGACCGAACACAGGGGCTCATAGGCACAAAGAGGGAGCTCTGGTGGCCTCGAAGTTAAGAAAATGTGCTGTCATCCCAAAGGCAGTGGTTCAAATCCACTAGCTGCTCTGTGGAAGGATGAGCAATCTCCTCTCGGCGATTTATTGCCTCTGAAAACCCTCTGGGGGGCAGCTGTGGCTCGGTTCTGACTCCAAGGCACACAACGACAACAACAAGGCACAAAGAGAGGTCTCAGAAGAGAGACACATGCTCACTCGGGGACATGCAGAGGGCAGGATGGAGGGGACATGGTACCAGGAGGCCGGCACACAGGGGCTGTACCGTCACCTCTTCTGTCGCCTGGTGGCGCCCTCGAGCTGTGCTCTGCCCACGGCCTCGCTCATGCCTCCCGGCCTGCAGTGCCCCCTTGGCCTTCAGCCGCCCGAACAGGAGGTGCTGATCCCCCGAGACATGGTGAGGGGTGGAGGTGGGCTGTGCACAAGGACCACGGGTCTCCAGAGCCTCCCAGCTTGGTCACCCGACTGCAGATCCTCCACTGTGGGGAGTGTGCGTGTGTGCCTCTGATTGTCTCGGGGTGAGTCTGCAGAGGACAAGAGGGGAGTTTTTGTGTGTCCTTCCGGAAGTATCTGTGTGAGCTTTCATTTCCCCCCCTTTTACGTCATGATGTCATAGGAAGGTTTAAGGGAGGCACGTGTCACAGAAGCGTGAGCACCCAGTCACCATGCGTATGTACCAAAAAGGAGCGCCTTTTAATGGGGTGTGTGTGTGTATGGTGTGTTGTGTGTGTGTCCCTGGGTGTGTCCCTATGCACTCATGTGTATACTTGGTTGTGTCTGGATTTTGCACGTGTGTCTGTGTATCTGCAGCTGTGTCGTGTTTGTATGATTGTATGTGTGTTAGTGTGTGTGTTTCAGGGCTGCGTCTTTACTCATCCTGTGTCTTACATCTACTTGTCTGTGTGTTTGCTTGACGCCTCTGTGTGTGTGTGTGTGTGTGTGTGTGTGTGTACATCTGTCTCAAGGTGTGGGTCCATGCATGTCCCTGTGTCTGTGTTTGTCCCAGGCGTGTGACGGGTGTGTCCCTCTTGCAGTGTGTCTTGTGTGTGTGTCTGCAGACACAGCTGCATTTGGCTTGTGCATGGGGCTGTGTTTGGGTCTGCCTCTGATGTGTGTTTTGTTACATTTTGGGGCCTGGGATCATTCATGAGGTCCAGAGATAATGGTCCCCTCCAGAGGGACAGAGCGCTTTTCATGGAGCTCCTTGCCTACTGATCGGACCA